GAGAGAGAGAGAGAGAGAGAGAGAAAAAGAAAGAGAGAGAGAGAGAGAGAGAGAGAGAGAGAGAGAGAGTATAATGTTACGTAAAAAATTACATAAACCATTTTTCCCGATATATCACTATCGTGATAACACTAGTAATGATGTAAACCATCATCTCAATAAATTGCTTCGTGAAAGACTTGCAGCACGAAGGCAAATCATAAAAGCGATTGTGCGGAGCGCAAAGTGCGATTCCTTCGCATGGTAATAGACGTAGTTTAATCAGAAAACTGCAGGAAATAGAGAGGGGACAGGTCACCACCCTCTATTGCTAGACTGTAGGGACATTTAAGTAGATGGAGGGTATAGACCCCTGTCTCTGCTCCATTTGCTTTCAGCCCGGGGGACCTCGACGCCGATATATATCCCAATATTCCCGGTAACAATGATGAATCACTGCGGAGCACCTCTTGCGCAAGAAGTTGCACTTCCAATGCGAACCGACTAAGATCTCGCCGTTCTCCAGGATACGGGCGACGCCGCTTTAACTCGATATATACGTTTCTGCACTTTGCGCGGTTATGCAAACTCCTAATGTAAGTCACGCCCGTGCAAACTCCTTCATATCGACGAGCGAATTCCGGATTTTCTTTCGTGCCGTAATAACGCGCTCAAGCGCGAACTTAACAAGGGTGAGGAGAAATACGAATTTACTTTGCGCTGCCAAAAGGAAGTGTCTCGTGCACGGATAAAACTCGGGCAAAAAAACAACGTTGCACGACTTTCTTTTTTACGTGAGATGTGGGACAGCTTTATTTTTACGATAACGGTTACGCCGTGAATGTAATATGCGAAGCAACGCGCATCTTCTGCGGCATTATATTGCGTCCGACGTAATATTATAAAGCGCAGAGGAAAGCTGCTTGCACTTGCGTGATAGTTACTTTCAGTCGTTTCAAATAAAATCAGACATTCTGTTTTTTTGTTCAATCTTATAGTAAAATCAAATCAATAAAACATAACTTTATTGTCACTTTATATAGCGCTATCATAAACGTTAACTTCTTATCATTTTTAGATAGTTTTTATATATATACAACACAAAAAAAATATATATACGATTTTATATATGTATATACAAATAAGTTTTAATATGTTTACACATCAAGTATTAGAGAATCGAAAACAATTATGTGTTTAATATTTCAATTAGGCTCACCTAATTGTCTCTTAAATCATGTGAGTTCTTTTCAGAGATTCAGCTTTATCAAAAGAGATAGTTGCATTTTGCGTATATGTACGGTTGGTACCAAGATGTATCGGTCATAGATTCAACCATAGAGAGATACACAAACCAATCAGTCTAATAGAGCTTCCCCTGTTGCCTATCGAATGATTCATGGTACGTCGCTTGGGAAGTGAATTTATTAATAAAACCAACTAAGTGCTCGGCACTGCGCGAACTTATTCGTTATTATGACGCATATCCTGTCACACAGATATTTAATGTTCAAAGCCCGTTTGTCATCACAATCATCTGATTTTCTTCCAATATATACATAATGTGCAATTATGAATACCATTTATTAAACACAAAAAAAAAAATTTAATTTTCTCATCTCGATACTTGATTTGTTAACAAATTTATTAAAAAATTGTAAATAAGACTTTTATGTATAAAGAAGTTTATGCAAACCTCTAGGAATGTATTTACAAAAGAGAAAGTGCATTGTGTTGAAGATAGAATTCTGTAATAATTTGTTTAATAATTTTTTAATCTATATTCAACAAATTTAATTTAATATAATCTGTTTAATATAATTTATTTTACATGAAACATATGTTACATAAACACAATTACATAAGATATTTGAATACTCTTATAAAGAAAAATCTTGTAAAACGGAAAACGAACGATTAGCTCGCTCGGAATTCGTGATATCCTCAGACAACCCGTATCGGTACATAATCTGATTCAGTTCAAAACAATGTCTTGATCGCTCAATGACAGAAACGTACACGCGACATTTCTTGGTTGACCTAGTTTGAAAGTTGATTGCATTAATTTAGAAAATATATATTTTTGCTCTGCTCGCACAGAAACAAGAACCATGGCGATGTTTGGACATAGCGTACGCACCGACAAGTCGCTCGTGGACATGGCTACGTAGTTGCCAATGTGCACCACCAGTGAACATAGCGCTGGCTTACAGGGCGAAAGAGCTATTACAGTTTTTTATATGACCCTGGCCGCTCTCAGTCTTCTCTCTGCTACATATATCGACGGATGTGTTTCGAGAATCGTAATCGAAACAATCGATTTCTACTCACTGTAAATCGCGAGATGTTGCCCATGTGACATTTACATACACATACATCTTTTAATTGAATAAGTCAGCTGATTCTGATTGATCTTCAGATGTAAGTGGTGGCAAAAGGAGATATGGTTAGAAACGAATATCCACTTCCCGAGAAGGAAAATATAGAGGAAGACATGGAGGAAATAATACCGGAAGAAGAAAATAACGACAACGAGGAAATGGAGTTGAATGACGAAGAAAATTTCAGTAACATTAGTGAATCTTTTGAGGAAGATATTTATTCTGAACTTGGTAAATAAGTTAATTTTTGAATAAATCATTTTTATAGTATAAAAATGCAAATTAAAAAATTCAATAATCATTGCTGTATATAAAATGTACAAATACACATCTAACAAACAAAAACCAAAGTCTTGTGGCAAGTATAAGTGTATAAATAAAAATTATTTAAAAAGAGCTATACATTAATATACATATCACAAGACTTTCGTTTTTAAGAAAAATGACAATATACATGCGGAGTTGATTGAGAAAATTGTTGCATTCTAATCGTGAAGCTAGAAAACAACTTCAAGAATCACGAGAAACTGAAGCGCAGCAATCAAAATGATAAAGTTTGTACTTAAAAAACTCATATGCACTTATTTACATTGACATCAGAAATAATTAAACACTATTATTATATTGTGTAATGACATGTATATAAGCCAATACAGAATGAACAAATCAGTTTCATATATAATATTTTGTAGATATTAAAGCATTAGAGGATGAGCTGGATCATTTGCAAAGTGCTTTGGATCATTTAGAGAAGAAAAATGACAATATACATGCAGAGTTGATTGAATTGTTGCATTCTAATCGTGAAGCTAGAAAACAACTTCAAGAATCAAGAGAAATCGAGGCGCAGCAATCAAAATGATAAATAGTTTGCACTTAAAAAACTCATCTGCACTTATTTACATTAACATCAGAAATAATTAAACACTATTATTTCTGATTTTTCGAAAGAAGTAATTTATATACCTTGTATACTAAAGAATATGGAAAAACTGTACATCAAAAATAGTTCCCATAAAATGTCAATATTTCTTGAACATAAAAATCTTGAATATTATTTTAATATAAGAATAAAATATAAAATTATGTAAGTATAATATTATCTATGTATATGTACCAAAGTAAAACTATGCATTTTTATGTATTACATATATTGACATTGGATTAAAACTGTAATTATTATTTATACGTTACATTATCTTGTATATAAAATATATTTCGGTAAGAAATGAAATGTGCATATATAATCTTTTTCTAATACATATCATAACTTGTGTAACCATATACCTACAGATCATAATATAGAACATATATTAAAGGAGCTTTTAGATAATGATAAATATTAAACTTTTGTAGTGCAAAGAGAAATTTAATAATAAAGCCATAAAAAAATTTGTTTTAACTGCTTTCAACTTATGTAAATCCCGAACATAGTGCAGTTAGGAAGAAAAATTGCAACATATGTGTAAACAGTTGTGTAACTTTTATTTGTGAACCAATAAATTTAACATAAATTTCGGTGGTAGTAAAAGTATTTTTTTTCAACCTAGTTGTAATTATACTTAACGATAAAAAGAGCTGTTTTTTTTATAGATACACAAGTTGATATAAGCTTTATGTATAAATCTTTAAGATTCTTACGTATTACAGCAATATTAATTATTTAAGTAGTTCAGATGTGCGCATACTTTGATAGTATTTAATTTGATCCTCCGACAGCGAAGTCAGTTATTAATGACCTACAACACAATTCACCTGTTTGCAAAAACTTTTCGAAAGGTGAAAAATATTCGTGAGTTCGCTGTTAGAGAGTTAAACAAAGAGTGCCAGTTTTATAAATTGATAAAAGATTAGTTAATTTGAGAAATCAAATTTACCAAGTCAGCTCGAGTTGCGTTCCCTATTGACTTCTGGTTGCATTTCTATCGAAGTAGGATTTAGCTTTATATATTAAGCGCAATAACAAAGTAATTTATTTTACTACCAAGCGCGACTTTAGATAAATCATCCTCTTCGATCTTTTTATTTATATTTGTTTATGCAAACTTTATATATGTAAGAATGTGATATTTTTTAAACGATAGTGTAGTATCAATTATGACATATACATTTGTATCTTGAGTGAAAGTACACTCAACCATTAATATTTCTTATCAAACGTAAAGCTGACGCGTTACTGCAAACAGTTAGTAGATTTTGTGTCATATAGTACAAAAATACACGAATAATTTTCAATATGTGATAACTAATGATATACTATAATTAATAAATATTTTTATTACACACTAATGACTTTTCCAAAATAAATTTACTCTCTAAATGTTACGTTTGTTTGAAATCTTTTCAACCAGTCAAATTTAAGCCTTTATAAACAGGAAACTATACATATGTATGCCTGACACTTCACCGTATTCACAAAATTACGTAACGGTTTTCGGACTAATCTCGAAACATCTAAACTGTCTTTGTATGAATATAAAAAACTTAGCTACGCTTATCCGTAAGATTTAAATAAAACTAACACAATATAGTGTAGTTATATTTTGCTGCTGTACACTCGAATTACGTCAAACTCGTTGCATATGCAGTGAATAATACAAGTGAATAAAAGTAAGAGTTCAAGCAATTTGAGACATCGTATACATTAATACATTCTTATATATGCACAAACATAACTCACACTAACATACTTATTAGTAGACGTTCGAGAATAAGATCTTGGTATTTTTTAATAAATCATTACATCTTTCACCGAATCTGAGTATATTTAATAATAAACAAGATTATATTTGTTAATTTTATATATATAGCTTAAGCACATTTTTCTTCTTTTTACTTGGTTTTGTAATCTCTATGTACGAGATTGTGTGAAAAAACTTTTACACAACGAAAAAAATTAATTGTGTTGACTTCAAACAACTTGACTTTATTATATAAACTTGATTATGTAAACAAAAATATGAAATTTTACTACTAGCTATTTTGTTGTAAATTTTTTATGTATTTTATTCGTATTACATAAATTATTCGAGAGATGTTTATATATTTTATATAACACACTGAAATCTTAACTTGCACGATTTATATCACTTTTTGCGTTTTATCTTGTACTATACAGTGAGATAACTAACAATAGTAAAAGAATAAAACTATTATAAGTGAAGAAACGACTTTCTTACGTGCAAGTTTATTGGAGTCCAACTAGACTTGTTATCTTATTTCATTATTATATACATAAACAAAAGTAAGAAAGGTTTTGTATTCAAACTTTTATATCGAATACGAACAGAAAGATTTTACCAATATAACTTTTAAGAAAGTTATATTTGTTTCTTTTTAATAATAGATTGTAGTTCGTTCCGCAAGCTGAAAATTTTAATTGCGTTGTCACACAATAAAATGTAACTATTACGTGTGAGATATTATTCTCATTCTCGGAATCTGATATTGAATATCGCAGGAACAATTTATCTTATTCTTCGTAGTATCGTTTTTTTCCCTGGAAGTAATTAAGAGAATCCAGGAGTAGTATCCAACGAAAAACTAAAAGGAACAAACAAATTTATATATTATGCTATACATATAATAAGAATAAGAAAAAGGTGAAAATTGTACAATATATTGTATACATACATTATAAAATCTATCTGTAATGTTGCTGTTATGTCAAAAGACCAATATATAGAAAGAGGTAAATATGTCATATAAAAAAATCTTACTCCTGTTTCAGAAAATTATATTAGATATCATTTTTGCCAATATAGAGAAACAGAGAGAATGCATTAATATTTGTATAAAGATATTCACTTCTCTAATATTGTGTAACCTGTATATATATTTTTGATGTTTTTCTAACCTTTCTGAGAAAACATTCAATATAAATATTGTGATTGAAACGCATAAAATCTTGTAATTCTGTACAGACAAAAGAAAAATTGTGTGACATTTGTCGAATCTCAAAAATAATATCAGATATTACATATTGTTTTACGATAAACAAATAAATCCAAGGATTTTATGCTACAAGTGCGTAAAAACTAGTCATTATAAGTTTCATGAATCAACAAGTGATTGCAAGATCTATTTTTTATTTCTTTTAACAATTTTATGTGTGTGTGTGTGTAATTTTTTGTCTGCTTACTAAAGAAACTGTTTGTACTGATCCATTCAGAATAAAACATACTGAAACCAAAGGATTGGATGCAACACTGATCTCTTTCAACCTGCAAAAAATCCTAACAGAATATCTTTTTAAATATTAAAGAACGCACCATTTTATGAATTTAGTTGATTTTGTTTTTAGAGCTGATGACGATAATAATTTTGACCTCAGATAGTATTGATTATCGCAGGAAGTTTAGTAAATCTAATTTGTTAAATCTGCATACATATATGTATATATACATATATGTGTGTGTGGGTGTGTAAAAATGTTTTACATTTAAGTGTAAAATCTTTCGGCACAAAGAATATATAAAGATACGTTTAAAAGACGTGTAAAAAAAAAAAAAAATATTGAGATAAAAGAAAACAAAGATTATATATATATATATATGTGTGTGTGTGTGTGTGTGTGTGTGTGTGTGTGTGTCAAATAAACTATACTTACCATATATTTATTTATGAACTTGGATTCATGTTAGTTTTTACTAGAGAGTCAAGAAGAGAAATCTTATTATCTTCTATACTTAAAGGATCATCTGAAGGGTCTGCGTATAGATTAGGTGTAGATAACTGTGTATGTAGATCGTTTGCAGATAAATCTGATGTTGTAGGTGGCGATAGTGGTACCCACGAAGACGATGTATTTACGTCGATCATGTCATCAAAAGCCTCTAACAAACCCGTAGAGGGATTATATGTCATAAGTTCTCCACCAGCAGATCCATTACCATCTGAAACTGTAGATAAATAAAAATGTTTTACGTTAAAGTTTAAAAACTTTTTGACACAAATGGTATATAAAAATATATTTTAAAAATGTGTAAGGATATTAAGAAAAAAGAAAAAAGTTTCAAAAGATAAAGTTCTCATAAATTAAGATCAATAAATATTGCAAGAAGTTACGTGTATCGTAATCATCTTTGTCACAATGTGGATTCAATTCTGGATTAACTGGTAGTCCAAATGCCAATGAGTCGTCGCCAAATAACTGAAAAAAATGTCAATATTAAATATTGTTTTCAGTTTTTTAATACACAAGAGTTTTGTTTTAAGATATTATTTTCACGACATTTTCTTGTTTATCAAGTTTAACGATTTATGAATATGTTTTAATATACATATATATCAAACATATTACCTCACAAATGGCGTTAACATCAAAGTTGCAGTTTTCACGCAATACTTCACGTAAATTATCACGTACATTATCTAGGTCATGTTGTATCAACTCCACATGACTATCCATTTCTTCCCTATGTATAGAATTACAGATAAGAATTAATTGAATTTTATACATAAGCTTCAATAAGATTTAATTGTTAATTGAATTTTATACATAAATATATCACTTTTATATATGTCAAGAGAAACAAAAGGAGTATAGCGCTATTATCTGTTAGACAAGGTTTAAAATAAAATAATTGCTCATAAAATAGTCAAATAATTTTCGTAAAAAATAGAAAGTTTTCTCTTTAACGCAAGTTAGTATTAAATATCGCTTTACATATAACGACGTATATGTAACAACGTTACATGCATGTATATACAAAAATCCACATATATAATTAATATTATATAAATATTAAAATACATAACATTAAATGCAAGTAAAAAAAACCCTGACTATGAAATGTAAGAAATTAAGTTTTGCAAAATTTTAATTAAGCTGTTAATTCTAATATATAATAATAGTAAACAAAAAAGAGAAGTGTGATGATATTTTTTTTTAATTTGCCTCATTAAAAGGTAAAAAAAAAAAAAAAAAAACTAAACAAGTTTATGAAAACCAATATCTTGTCAACCTTTATAAAATATAAAAAATAATACACCTTCACTTCTTTTTGTCTCAATAAGCATTTCCGCCACAATTAAGTTGAAACTATTAAAATTGAATTGTCCTCTTACATTACCCATGGTCTGTACTGAACTTACGTCGGTTCTAACCTGTAATTAGCTTCAGACATTCCAGAGGAATTGACACAGCTTAAAGATAAATCTTTGGATGAGCTTGTGCCTGCTTTTTGCCTGCTTTGGCCCCATTGCTGCGAACATTTTGACGCTTTATTTTCACTGTTTTGCACATAGTTATCGGCCATAAACACATTTTTGCTGTCGGTTTGATTAAATCCTTTGTTCATTTTATTAAGGGTGCTGTTACTGTTTTCACCATTTTTGATTTGATTTTTGACGTTATCACGAGTGACCATATCTGGCTCATTTAGAAACTCTTCTAATTTTACTATAGATACATCATCTCCAGCTTCCGTTCCATCGTCTTCTACATCAGCAGAAGTGTCGGTATCAAACTCTTGAGTTGTATTCATGTTTGCTGCCATTGCTGCGAGTTTGGAACTACGCACTGTTGCCATTGGTACTACCGTTTTGGAACCAACAGAGTCTTTTTTCAGCACAGTAGTCATAGTCTTCTCTCTTGGTACAGTAGGTATGTTAAGCATATGCAATTCCTCTCTATAAATAAAGAGAAGCTAATGTTTAGTCTATAACTGTGTTTTACAGTGTTGCTTAATTAATTTTTATATTCAATTACTGTTTCTATGATACAAGACAAAACACTAAGAAAACTACAAAGTACATTCTACGGTAACAAAAAGTGAAAATTCATGCAATCGCTCTGAAATTGTTACATTCGGTAGCAAGAAAATATTACGTATATATGTATTCTCAGTAATATATCTAAAACCTACTATTATTTTATTTATACATTAAATAAGCAAGTTTGTCTATTTGCGACTTTTTCTCTCTTAAATTAAATAAATTACATTTGTACAAAATAAATTTAATAATAACATGTATTCCTGATATAAATAATATATAAAAATATGTATGTATAATTATATATAGTTCTCAAAGAATTATAATATTAAATACGATAATACCCTGTATAATATAGCAACAATATAAATATTTAGAACATATATACTATATACATGTTTACATTATATATGAAAGAAACAACCAAGGTTTATACTAAAACTTTTAAAAGATCAATCAATCGTAATCTCTGTAAAAAAATAATAATAATAGAAAATTTAATGTATAAAGAGAAAATTTTGTCAAGAATACAAAGGGAAAAAGACAAAACTAGAGAAATTTGACTGTATATATTTCTACAGTACAATTATGCACGCCTGACATTTCATGCAAAATAGTAGCATATATTCATATTATCTTTTATGTAACAAAAGAGCTTTAAAACTTTTTGAGATACCAACACCAAAAATGATGTAGCAATACAAAAAAATGTCAATAACCTTGGTTTTCCTCCATTTCCCAATGGTGGAATTAAAATTTTTATAGGCACCTTGTTTTTCCTCCTAGTAATATTTATAAATACTGTATAAGTATATTTTAAACATACAGACCTTACAACGTCTACTAATTTAAAACTTTGTTTTTTATTTTTACTGCTTTATAACACAAGAATTATATATTGAGAAAAGAACGACTTTAATTCACAACAAAGATAAAAGATACAACTGTTACACTTACTTCTTCTTGTCTTTCGAATGTTTCTTCATCGTACTACTCCGATGTTTAATTTGAATATCGTTTTCTAACTGTACTGAAGTGTCTGGTAAGTGAACAGTGTCCATACTGTCATCTATCGACGAAACAACATGTTCCTGCAGACTGTGAACAGCTGGATTTTCATTTTCTAACATTCTAAAAGAAACACTTGTTAACACAGTGATATTTTTCTGTTAACTTACAAATATCACGATGTGTATACTTCGTGCAAACTTAAGATATGTCCAACTTTCCTCACATGAGAAAATATAGATTTAAAATAAAGAAAATTCATATAAAATCTATTTACACTTACTCATCAACGATATATTCTGAATCCAAGTCAGGTTCTGACGAATCAAGTTCATGAATTACAGGTCCTGTAGGAGATGTCTGAGCCTATAAAATAAATATCTATTATTGTAGAAATTAATGCAAAAATAAATGTTGAAAAAGATAACACAATAATAAAATTACCTTTGATAATTTTCTCTCTTTATGTTTGAGATCGTCTATCATTAATCTCGGATATTGTCTTTTAACAGGATGTAGACCACTTGACCTTGAGGATTGGCACATACTAACAAAGAAGTGAATGAGTTTGTTAACAATTTGTTGTTGTTTTATGTGTTTCTGTCTCAGCATTGCTAATTCTCTCCACATGGCTTCATTTTCATTTTTTATTGCACCTATCCTGCTATCCAAATCCTCTTGACGACCTTTCATATTCCTTACTTCAGTTAACATCTTATTCATTAGTTCCGGTTTAATACCAGAATGTGCAGCATCTTGAGTTTTGCTAGATGCAATCTAATAAAACATAACTAACATTATTACAACAACACAAAGCAACAGTATGTACTAATAGTACATGTATATATGTACTATTTTTACTTTCAAAAATAATGTACTTACTTTTCTTTTAATGTGTTCTAATAAACCTGGATTTCCTCTGATAAAATACTGATGTGCAAATTCCATTTCATCTTTGTCACATTTTAAACCACCTAATTCTACCGATACTATCTTGTGAAAACCATCTTAAATGCAAGAAATATTTTTAATAAGTGCTTTTTATGTTTTTGTTTTATGTTATATACACACCTAAAGTTATACATATTAATATTTTAGATACTTACACATATTTAGCTGCCGCACAAAACTAGGCATATTATTATGTTTATAATAATACGGTAATAACTCGCTTGCAAATTTTGCTTGATTTCTGATAAAAAAACTTTTACCAGTCTAAAAAAAATATTACACATTATATATATATGTGTGTATATATATATATTTGTGTGTGTGTGTGTGTGTGTGTGTATGTATTTATTATTATATGCTATTATATTACAACCTGATTGAATCATCAACACAATACATAGCAATGTTTTCTCTATAACGAATTAGCAACAATCTATCCAATTATTTTTTTAAATTATGGTAGTACGTTATACAACAGTGATTAACTTCAATATCAAATATGAATTTAGCACAATACCTCAATATATAGGAAAAAGTAATGTAACATCATAATATTCAAACAACAGGTTGAACAAGATAGAATTGATAATAACTGCATGTGATTTATGTACATGATGCGAGATGCCATGTAAATCGTGGAGAAGTATGCATCGGAGGTCAACATTTTGTTATTGCTTAGCATTGTAATCGTAATTGCAAATTGCGGAAATACATGTTAACGTAATACATATTTAATGCACGGCATTCCAATTATCGAATAGTGTAAGACACATAATAATTACATCATGACAGCGTCAAACAACCAGTACATAGAATACTCGCACAACACAGGTGAATATATAATACTCACGGGTGACCAACAAATGAGATCCTTGTTTTTTGGATCTTCAACCAGCCTCCAGAGTTTAGCAAGAAACGCCGGTACGTTTGTACCCAATTCTTGTATTGTATGCATTTTAAAGAAAAAATTTATATTCAAACTTTGAAAGGCTAACAACACTTTCGCCGGTTGTATCACACGAAACTTTTACACATTTCCTTCGCTTATAATGGCTGACCGCTGATGATGTTGTTCTGCTGCAGGTCTTCTCGGTAGCAGGGGGGGGATGACAGACACAAGCGTTTTAACTTTTTCCTGTAATGCCGTATCACAGTACCATACGAGAACTCAACACGTCTTGCATAAAGTCGTGTCCATAATCTCAGTACTACCAGAGAGAAACCTGAGAGCGGCCATCCAAATGTAATTTTTTACGACGGTTTCAGCCGCTGGTTTTAGCCGTATTTCCACAAAAGTGGAACTCAAAGGCCGTTCTACATTAAACGCAAGTCGCAGATCTCG